TGATTTTGTTCTTTACTTTTGTTTATGTGATGTATTGCATTTATTTATTTGCAAATATTGTACCATTCTTGCATCCTGAGATGAATCCAACTGAATCATGATATATGATTTTTTAATGTATTGCTAGATGAGGTTTGCCAAAATTTTGTTGAGGATTTTAACGCCTATGTTCATCAGCAGTATTGACCTCAAGTTTTCTTTCCTTGTTGCATCTTTATCTGGTTTCGGGATTAGGATTATGCTGGCTTCATAGAAAAATATTGGGAGTTTCCCGTGTTCTTGAATTTTTGGGAATAGTTTGTGAAGTACAAGGGTTAGCTCTTCCTTAAATGCTTTGTAGAATTCTCCTGCGAAACTCAGTGGTCCAGGGCTTCTGTGTATTGGGAGTGTTGATTACTGCCTCAATTTTGTCAGCTGTTATTGGTCTGTTCAGGCTTTTTGATTCTTCTTCATTGAGTTTTGGAAGACTATATTTTTCCATAAATGTATCCATTTCACCTAGTTTTTCAAAATTCTTGGCATATAGTTCTTTGTAGTCATTTCTTACAATGACTTCTTACAACTGTGATAGCAGCTGTAATCTCTCCTCTTTCATTTCTGATTTTGTTTATTTGGGTCCTCTCTCCTTTCTTCTTGCTAAGTCTACCTCAAGGCTTGTCAATTTTGTTTATCTTTTCAAAGAACCAACTCCAGGATTCATTGATCCTTAGAATTGTGCTTTTAGTGTCTATGTCATTTAATTCTGCTCTGATCTTGGTTACTTCCTTCCCTCTACTTGCTCTGGGCTGTCTTTGTTGTTGTTCCTCCAGTTCTTGTAGGTGTAGGGTTAGACTTTTTATTGAAATGTTTCTATCTTTTTTAGGTAGGCCCGTATCAGTATGAACTTCTCCCTCAGGACTGCCTTCACTGTGTCCCATAAGTTTTGGGTTATTGTTACTTCATTCTGATTTATTTCCAGAAACTTTTGTATTTCTTCCTTGATTTCATTCTTAACCCATTCATTGTTTAATAGCATGCTATTCAATCTCCATGAATTTGAGTGTTTTTGTGATTTTTTTCCTTGAGGTTGGTTTCTAGCTTCAGTCCCTTGTGGTTCAAAAAAATGCTTCATATGATTTCAATTTTCTTGAATTTATTGAGGCTTCTTTTGTGTTCTATTATGTGGTCTATCTTTGAAAATGTTCCATGCACACTTGAAAAGAATGTGTATTTTGCTTATTGGGCAGAAAGGCTCTATATATATATCAGTTAAGTCCATTTGATTTAGGGCATTATTGAATGCCACAATATCTTTGTTGATATTTTGTTTGGAAGATCTGTCCATTTTTGACAGTGGGGTGTTGACATCCCCTATGATAATTGTGTTGCTATCAACATCTTTCTTGACGTCCTTCAAGATTTTCTTTATGTATTTCGGTGCTCCTATGTTGGGTGCATATATATATTTGCAATGTTGATGTCTTCTTGATGGATTCCTCCCTTGAGTATCATGAAGCGACCTTCTTGGTCTCTCTGGCCCTTTTTTTTTGAAGTCTATTTTGTCTGATGTGAGTATTATAACCCCAGCTTTTTTCCCCTGTCCATTTGCTTGGAATATTTTACCAGGCCTTCACATTCAGTCTGTGTAGGTATTTTGCTCTGAGGTGGGTCTCCTGTAAGAAGCATATGTGCGAGTCATGATTTCTCATCCACTCAGCTACTCTATGTCTTTTGATTGGAGCTTTCAATCCATTTACATTTAAGGTTATTATTGATAGGTACTTATTCATTGCCATTTTTTCGTACCTGTGTTCCTCTCTCTCTCTCTCTCCCCCCTTCCTTTTCTTAAAGCAGTCCCTTTAGCATCTCTTGCATAGCTGGTTTGTGGGAGGTATAGTCTTTTAGACTTCTTTTGTCTGGGAAGATCCTTATTTGGCCTTCCATTTTAATTGTGGGCCTTGCTGGATAGAGTAGTCTTGCTTGCAGACCTTTGGTTTTCAATACTGGGAATATTTCTTGCCATTCCCTCTGTCTTGGAATGTTTCCATTGAGAAGTCAGCTGCCAGTCTTACTGGGGCTCCCTTGTATGTGACTTCCTGTTTCTCACTTCCTGCCTTTAAATTCTCTCTTTGTCTTGGAATTTTGTCATTTTAATTTTGATGTGTCTTGAAGTGGGCCTCTTCGGGTTTCTCTTGATTGGGATTCTCTGTTTCCTGGATTTGTCTGGCCTTTTCTCTCATCAAATTAGGGAAGTTTTCTATCATTACTCTTTCAAACAGGTTTTCTATTCCTTGGTCCTCCTCTTCTCTTTCCACTGTTTTATGGATATTATTACCTTTCAAGTTGTCTTGCAGTTCCCTTACCACCTCTTCATTCTCCTGAGTCTCTTTTCCTTTTCTTTCTCTTTCTTGGTGTTTTTTTTCTACCTTTTCCTCTAGTTCTCTGATTTGATCCTCTGCTACATTCAGCCTGCTTGTAATTCCTTCTAGTGTATTTTTTATTTCTGAGATCTTATTTTTCATTTTTTTCTGTTTTCTGTTTATAATTTCTATTTCCTTTTTCATACTGTTATAGTTCTCACTCAGTTCCTTTCAGTTTTCTGTGAATTCTTTGAGTATCTTCATAACCATTACTTTGAATTCTACATCTGATAGTTTGCTTACCTCCATTTCATTTCGCTGTTCTAGTGGGGAGTCTCCCATTCCTTTTGATTGTATATTCTTTTTTTCTCCCCATTTTAGGTCGCTTGTTTTGTTTGTTTCTGTGCTTCCTAATGTTTCATTTTGCTGCCTGTCTTTGTAAGATGAAATTCTATGGTAGGAATTAATAGTTCCTACCCTATAGTAGGGTTCAGTGGGACGGTCTCTTTGATCTCCTTGTCTAGACGCTCTAGGTTTGCCCTTTCTTCTGTTTGTGTGGGCTCTCTTGTTGTACTTGGGTTTTTACCTTTTGGTGGTTCGTTTGTTGGTGGTTTTTCTCCCCCAGCAGGTACACTGATGTTCACAGCTCCCACCTATTCTTGTATGTGATCAGGGCAGGGAGTAGGCAAAATGGATTAAGACAGCGGAGAGTATTTTATGGGATTTAAAGTACCAGCAAGTAGAGAAGATATAGGAATACTTATCTTTGGATAAGTATAGCTGTTAACTGTGATATCTCACCCAACTAACCACTTTTTATAAAAGATGAAAGAGAGGTAAGACTCTTGTTAGAGGGGAGGAGAATTGTTAGCTGAATCCAGAAAACAGAGCACTTGTGCAAGGTTAGATGATGAGATATAGTGAGAGTAAAGGATAGAAAGGAAGCATAATATGAAAAAGAATAGAGTTCACCAGAATAATAATAATGCTCAGGATTGAAGTGAAGTGGGCTAAGATCATGGAGGGTTGCTGTGTAGTATGTACAATTGTATGGAACAACAATTATTTACAATAGTACTGGAACAACAATAATATGACAGGAAATATATGATTTGGCTAAACAGAATAGAAAGTACCTGATCAACAGTCATGTGTTATTGGAACACAGGCAAAGTGAAGAAGGAAAATTAAAATACAATATAGAGAAAATAAGGAAAACCAGTCAAATGATGCAATAAAACAGAGAAATAAAATGAGTAAAACTAAAGATAAGGAAGAGAAATAAAAAAATGCTAATAAAATAAAATGTAAAAATAATGAAATAATAATAATAATACACACAAACAATAAAATGCCAGCTCTACAGGATAGCAAAGTGACAATTGTTTCAGTTTCTCAGTTTTGGGGGTTAGCCTTGTGCTCCACCTATGGATCAGTGTTCAGGCCTTTCATAACTCCATGTCTTATTGTCTCACTTGGAGAAAGAAAGAAAAGGAAAAAAAAGAGAGAGGAACAAAAAAAAGAAGTCTCCTGCTAACTTTAAACCCATGCAGTGAGTTCTGCTGGTCTTCCTGGATGCCACAGGAAGAAGAAGGCTGGGCTTCACTTTTTTACCTTCTTACGGTTTTGAGAGGAGGGGGACCAGGTCTGGGCCACAATATTTGCAGTTGTCCAGCTTCTGGCCCAGGTCCTCTATGAGATGCCAGACTCAAATCAGCCTCTCAGTCTCTGGGCATGCAGTACAAGTCAAGCTCAGGAGCACTGTTCCTGACTGAAACATTTTTTAATTCATTGATTTCCATTCACTATTATATGTGAAGTACTATGCTAGGTGCCAGGGGACATAATAGTATAAAGGTATTTTTTTTTCCCCTCATGAAACTTAAAAACTAGTACAGGAATTGAAAAGTTTTCTGTAAGGGGCCACACAACAATATTATGAGCTCTGGGGGAAATAAAGTTTCTGTTGCCAACTACTAAGCTCTGTTGTACACCAAAAGTAGTCATAGACAATAGACAACAAATAAGCATGGATGTGTTCAAAGAAAACTTTATTTACAGCTAGTGGGCCAGATTTGGCAAATGGGCTATAGCTTGCCTACATCTGCTCTGGTGGAAAATAATTAATGAGCAATCTCAATATTATATGGTAAATGCAGTAATAGTGGTAAGCCAAAGCTGTTATAGAACATGCTACAAAAGAATCAACTTAGGTTCTGGGAGGGACAACAATTTAACTGATGCTTCTATTGTCTCAAATTTAAAAACTAAAAGTAGTTTTTATAATATGCTACCATTATAAAACAATTTTTAAGACTTTATTTACTTTTAGAGAGAGGGGAAGGGAGGGATAAAAAGAGGGAGAGAAACACTGATGTGTAAGAGATACATTAATCAGTTGCATCTTGCACACCCACAACTGGGGACCTGGCCTGTAACCCAAGCATGTACCCTGACTTGGAATCAAACCAGAGACCTTTGGGTTCACAGACTGGCACTCAACTCACTGAGCCACACTAGCCAGGGTCCATTATAAAACAATTTAAAATCTCATTCTGGAAATGTAAAACATATTTGACTATGAAAACATTGCTTAATTATGTAGTATTCTCTTCTGGTTGTTTATGAAAATTTATACCATAGGCACATTTGAAAGCTTACCTTGAGTGACTGTTTTGAGAATAATTAAAGTTGATAAAAATCTTAATGGCAAATTGGAACTCCTAAAGAAAGCAGCTGTCTTTGGTTTATTCTCCATAGAATGCTCTGAAGAATTATCCTGAATTGCCTTAGTTACTACTCCTTTGAATATGTCTTCACCCAGTCTCCTCAGTGTTGATGTCATAGTTGAATGCTGTTAAAAATATGTATTATCTTAGTATACTTATGTTCAGAAAATATAATTTTAAATACAGTCTAACATATGAACTAAAGATGTCTATGTCTTGCTAATTAAAAATATAAAACAGTTGAAAATATGCAAGCCTGCAAAGTAATAATTTATAATCAACTTAAAATTACTTATGACTATGTATTTTTCTAAAAGAAATGGGCAGTCTACTAGAATTAGAAAGTTGAAAAGAATAATTTGCTGAGAATAAAATTAGAGGAATAGAAGTGAAATTCAATTTCAAAATGTTTAAAAGGATAGGATCATGAGATATTTCTGGTACAGAGAGGTCAAAGTAACAGAGACAGACTCTACAGGCTGTTCATTGCTCTACCATTAGTATTAAGTGGCTTATCAGGTATATCTTACAGTGTTAGCTTATAAAGTGATCGACTATGCCCTCACTACCTTAGAGCTCAGTATGACTATAAATGTCACAATGATTTTGATAAGTTTAAGTTTCAGAAGAATAAAATACTGGGTTATAGTATTTTATTACTGGTTAGAATCTAGAATTATTAACATGGCAAATAAACTAAAAGAAGAAAATATGCAAAAGAGAAATAATAGCATATAACTACCTCTAAAATAAAGGGAAATCATTCCAAACTGCTGAAGGAGAGAATGCTTTTGCCAGACATACAAATAATTTATATTTTTCTTTATTATTACCTAGTATTCCAAACCAAGTTTGATAAGTTTCCCCATTCTATCAAAATCTGTGACCAATTGGTACCCAAATCAGTTTTGATCTTAGAAAATGAATAACAAGAATTAGAATTTCTGTTCAGATTTTATGGGGATCAAAGGCCAAAAATAATTGGGTGGTAAGGGGCACAAGCACTGCAATCTAATTTAAATATATTGTCAATAGCTTTTAATATCTAGGAAAAGATAACACATATGTGTTTTAAAACCTTTCTGTAAAAAGATAATAGAAGAAAGTATTTCAAAATTCTACTTAGAATAATTGTGTTAGAATGATAAGATCAGGAGAAATTTGCTTATTTCAAAAGTATCTATAATGCTTTATACTATACTTTAAAATGGGAAGTACACTTTTTATTTTTGATAACATATTGATACTATTTGCCTTTAAGTGAAACAGAAGAGGAAAAAAAAACACAAAAAATAGCATTTTTGATGGTTATTGAAGCTTCACCCAATCGCTGAAATCTTTGCTGAAATCATATGGGTACTAACTTTTTCATTCATAGTATAGTACGTGATTTTTCTACTGGGGTTATTCATCTTTACCAGAATTTGAATTAAAACATTGGCATTAAACCACATTTTGTAGGGTGCAAAATATGTCAAGAATAACTGACCCCAAAATATAGCAAGTTTTTAAAAATAAAACACTTCTGGCTATAGGAGTACTTTTCCCTAGTCTTCCTGCTCTGAAAACAACATAAATCCCTAGACATTATACAGAAAACAAATAAGATGACTCCAAAAGGTTTAGTTCTTTGAGTTGTCTGATGCCTCATATTCCCTTGACTTATAGCTGAGAAAGCTGGCAACCTGACAATGCCAAACTGCCCCAACAAAAGGCTGCTCTCTTTAGCCAAAAGAATAGGAAAATGGTAGCATAGCAAGATAAAAAAACTCAGACAAAACCATGTGCCAGCCAAATACCCCCACCAAGATCAGCAAAGTGGCCCAACCCCAATCCAGACCAGCAAAGTATAATGAGGTATCAGTAAAGGCCATGTGGGAAGTTGTAATGAAGCACTGCTAGCCCTCCTAGTTAAGGAGGTATCAGGAAGATCTAGTAAGGGTCCAAAACTGACCCTCTCCCCTAGATAATATCAAGAGCTAGTGGGGAATCTGGACTTCTACCTCACTGGAAAATAAAGAGGAGGTACCTCCCCACCCTTTCCTCCACCACAGCAATGTCAAAGAAAGCCAGATAAAACAAAATGTTTAATAAGACCCAGAATCTTACAACATAATATCAAAATGTCCAGTTTTCAATTAAAAACTCACTAATCACATCAAAAACTAGGAAGATATCAAAATGAATGAAAAAACAGTTACTAACACCAACATGACAAAGATGTTAGAATTACCTGACAATCATTTTAAAGTAGCCATGATAAAATAAGAAATTATGTTTTTAAGTACAAATTGGAAAACTTATCAACGAAATAGTCTTACTAATGAAAATAATGAAGAATCAAAAGGAAATTTTGTAACTGAAAATACAATAACCAAAATTAAAAACTCAGTGGATACCTTTAACAGCAGTATGGAGGGAAGACAGGAAAGAACCAGTTAACTGGAAAATAAAACAATAGAAATTACCCAATCTGAACAACAGAAGAAAAACCTGAGAAAAAACATAAACAGAGCCAAAGAACTGAAGGTCTATAACAAAAGATCTAACAATAATGTCTATCAGAATCCTGAATGAAAAAAAAAATCACATGGAGCTAAAAAAAATACTTGAAGAAATAATGACTGTAAACTTTCCAGACTTGACCAAAAATCACATCCGAAGGTTGAAGAAGGTAAGAAAACAGAAACAGGATGAATCCAAAGAAATCAATAAGACACATCATAGCCAAACTTATGAAAACCAAAGAAAAAAGAAAAAAAATTGAAAGCAGTGATAGAGAAATGAACATATTTCGGGAAAGGAATTCAAATGACAGTGGGTTTCTTATCACAAACCATGAAAGTCATCTAAAAGGAACTGGCACATTTTTTAAGTACAAGAAAAGACAAGTCATCCCAGAATGTGATATCTAGTGAAAATACCCTTCAGGGATGAAAGGAAAATCAGGACATTATAGGATGAAGAAAAAACTAAAACAATCTGTCATCAGCAGACCTACTTCGAAAGACTACCTAAGGGAAGTTCTATAAACAGAAATGAAATGATAAAAGAAAGACTACTGAAACATCAGGAATCAAGAAAGGAAGAAAAAAAGGAAACAATAAGCAAAATACAGGTAAGTATAACAGACTTTCCTTCTCAAATTTCATGTTTGACAGATGAAGCAAAAATGGTAATACTGCTAATTTGGTCCTCTATATACCTAGAAGAGTATTAACACAATTATGGGGGGAGGTTAAAGGAAGGCAAGATTTCTATGAACTAATAAAATGACAAAACCATTAGATGGTAATAGTTACTTATATATGGTGTAATACTTTGAAAAATTACTAAAAAAGCTGTACAAACAGATACACTCAAGCTGTAAGGATAAATCAAAATGGAATTCTAAGAAAATGTTTAAGTAACCCAGATGAAAGCAGGTAAAAGAAACCAAAGAAATGAAGAACAGACGAAAAAGAACAATAAACAAACAAACAAACAAAAAATAGACTGAAGCCCTAACATAAATGTCCTAGGTACACCAATTAAAACAGACAAGTTAAAATTGATTAAGTTGATTAAGAACATAAACTAGCTATATGCTATCTACAAAAAACCTCATTTCAAATATAATAATGTAAGCAGACCAATTAAAAGAATGAAAGAAGACATAATGAATTAAATGAAAGCATAAGTGGCTATATTAGTCGTATCAGAGACTGGACCTGAAAATGAAGAAAACTGTCAGGGACAGAAAGGGATGTTATATGACGATGAAAGAGTTAACCCATTAAGAAGACATAATTCAAAATGTATGTGTTCTAACACAGTTGCAAAATATGTGAGCCTAAAACTGATAAAACCCAACAGCAGAAATATATAAATCCACAATTATAGCTGAAGACTTCAACATTCCTTTCTGAACAATTGATACAACTAGACAGAATCTTAGCAAGGCTGAAACTCAACACCATCAACCAGCAGGATCTAATCCATACTTACAGAACACTCTACACAACAATAGCAGAATACACAGTTTCAGCCAAAAAAGAAAAAATCAATAATACAACCAAACTAGAAAACCAGTAAGATAACAATAAGACTTATAACAAACGTCTAAATAATACATGGGGAGGTCAAAGAGGCCATCTCAAGCAAAATTTTTTAAAAATAAAGTTAATTGAAAGTAAATGAAAATGCAATGTATCAAAATTTATGGGCCACAGTTAATGCAGTGCTGGCAGAAAAATGTCATTAAATGCATGTATTAGAAAAGAAAAGTCTCAAATCAATAATATTTTTCACCTCTGCAACCTAAAAAAAGGAGATGAGAGGAGGGGAAGATGGCAGTGAAGTAGGTGGGAGTGGAGCCCACTTTTCCTTGTGCCAAGCTGGAACACCTAGAAACAGAGTGAACAGCCAATGGAATCCCAGTTTACATGAAGCTTGGAGGAAAAAAATTGCAGAGGATACTGAAAAACAGGCAGTGAGGACAGTGCGCTGGGATGGTAATGTTCCTGGGATCTATACCAGGACCAAGGCTGCTCTAGCCCCCAGCCCGGCGCCTGCTGCACAATATGGGGAGGAGAGTTAGAGCACCAGCTCCTTCCCCTACCAGAGCAGGGAGGGCAGCCTGGCACTAGGAGGGACCTAGGTGCTGAAAGTCGCTGGGGGAATTAGAGATGAAGTGGGAGACACACAGAGGCGGTACACACCCCCTGGGACTGGGGATGCTGGCACGAGAGAAATGGAGATGCCAGGGGGTACCTGGAGATAAAGGAGTTGAGCCGTGTCAGACCCAGACTTGGATAGCCTCCAGAGTAGCAGAAAAAGTGGGGCTGTGCAAGGCAGTTGTTAAGAACAGCGGGCAGCTGCTTTGTTAGGAACTCTCCAGCAGTGGCTAGCGCACCCCAAAGAAGATTTTAGCTACGTTCGCCCAGAGGGAGTGGCAGAAGGGAACTCTGTGTGTCCCCCTAGTCTCGCACAGTGCGCCCAAACACAGTAGCTGAGCTGAACCTTGTGCCCCACCTGTCTGGCACTGCCCCCACTCAGAGTAAGTAGAGGTGGGGAACTTTGCACTCTGCCTGACTCACATTGCATGCACCCAGAGTGAGTGGAGGAGGGGAACTGTGTCACCACC